AATGCCGCTATTCGAACGCGCAAACCGAGTGCGTTTGTCCGGGTAGCGACTGTGGAAGATGTCGTGAACACTGTCAAGTTTTGTGTAAAAAACGAGGTAATGGAAAAAGTTATAGGTGGAATTTATTCCGTTTACACCTTTATACTGGAGGAAAATCTATTGCGATTTATGTTATCAATTTTACGCTTAGAGTTTTGCCTCCACTTCTCGAACGTGCACACAAAGTGATGATACCTGTACAGTTTCAGGGCGCGGTAGCCAAGCCTCTGTACCATTTATTTAGCACCAATATACTTAAAACGGTTTATACGACTGAGGAAAATTAATGCACCAAAGCCGGACATGAAAACCACAAAGAAAAAGGAAACACCACAACTCAATCCTTGAACTCCTAAGATCTAGAGTGTCCAGCATCTAATCTCCCCAGGCAATATCACTCCTGAATTACACATGAAGGTCATAAGAAAAAAAAGAAATGATCTCCAGCAAAAGGAGCTACTAATTTTCAAACAAATTCTCATGGCCAGTACGGTGGAAAATGTACCGAGACCTGTATGGAGAATATGCATACTGATATTAAGGGTCAATACCTCACCCAACTAACAATTGCAAATTAGAAACTATGATCCTACAACTCTTCCTGCACCTTGCACCCTTCTCTGCTCTTCTCATCTGTGCCAGAAAAATGATAATATATGCTAATTAGGATTATCACAAATAAACATTATGTCTTGAGATGAATTATCATGATAAATTGAAATATGAATGAAAATATAATTGTAAATTAGGTTAATTAACTATTATCAACTGAGTTCGGCCCTTTGTCAGAGCAAATGTGGAAGGGCTAATGTTTTACTGTCCCACCAACACAGGATAACAGTTTCCAAATGCCAAGTTTACAAATTTCACTGGGCTTTTGGACATAATCCTTGTCAAATTTAGAACATTTTTGTTTTCTATCATTTCACATTAAATACCTGTATGTCACTTTTGTTAGAAAAAAGCTATTCACTCAACAGTGGTTCAGGTGTTGGACTGATCCTTTGTTACACAAAGTAATGTTTCACAAATCAAAGTTGGGATGGTGAATAACTTCAAGAAAAAATACTGAAACATGCATAAAATGCACATTTTGCTGCACATTGTTCAAAATGCATACAGGCACCATGTAAATAAATAATGCTATGCTTAGATGACTATCTATGACCTGTACATTGAAAGAGAAACCGTACTCCCCAACATTAACTCTGAGTATACATATTCTCAACACATTAATCCATACATTCCCTATGGTACTGACAAAGAGAATTCACTGAATATAATCAAGAGCTTCCTTAGTTGGCAATCAATTCCTTCTTTCCCATGTCTAACTTAAGTTGATACTGTCAGGAGAAATTACAGGGAGGTCACTCAAAGAGGTTTAAGGGTTAGATTTCTACACTTCACAATGTGTTACCTTGTCATTATGGATGACATAAGTTTGGGAAATATGAAAATCAAAGAAATAGGCTAGAGGTATTGCCTTTCATTATTTTCTTTGTTTGCCAAGATCTGCAGTCTTTGTTGCTTTGTTTAATTACAACTCCTTGTTTAGTATTTTATTTTTAGGATTTGAAATCATGCCACTAATTTTCATGTCATTATCACACCTCTTTGCTTGAAAAATATGTTTGTGGTATATTTTGCAGTTGGACATGTGTGTTTGTGCTGCAAAGAACAGTGATTTCGCGATGGCTGATGATGCTGTGGTTATTAATCTTTCTGACATGAACAGTGTAACAGTGGATGTGGAAAAGAAGGTATGTGTTGTTATAGTCCTACTGCACTAAGTAGAGTATAAATAACACGTGAATTGAGTACTTATACCTGACAATATTTTACAGTTATTTGGATTGCACTTGAATCACACTTTGCATCTAATTGTACTCTACTCCATGCAGCTGGATAGTATATAACTTATAAGATATTTTGGTGTGTGGTTTTGCTGAGTATTTTAACCTATTTTTTGTATTCTGACTTAAGAAAATACTCAGCCATACCACACACTATTGGATGTAACATTTTATTATACTGGAAACAAGAAAAGGGCAAAACACTAACAACATCCCTATTTTAACTAACTTAACCTTGCATTGCAACCTTCCTTGTGACATAAAACTGCATAATTATGGAACAGTTTGTGACTATATTTGTTAACTCAAGATAATTGTGTAAAGTTGCTGTTTTTTTGCATACATAACAAAACTAGAATAGACTCATGCAGGTATCCAAAATATTCCTATCTAGGAGCTTGGTGAAGTTACAGGCTGTTAGGCTTAAAATACATAACCTTTGACCTATCTCAAGCCAAATTCTGAGAAGTAAAATTTTAGAGTTTGTGATCTTTGAAACTGTTTTATCTCTTGACTTTTACAGTGTTCTCACTTATTTTAAGCATGACAGGTAAAATAAATTTTCAAACCAGTAAAGCAATCCTTCTACCTGTTGAATTTTCAAGAATTCCATGTAATTTTAAACAGTAATAAGAGGTTCTACAGGCGGTAAATGTTACCGGTTACCACCTGAAAAGGAGAACACTGCTTTTATGATGTAGGCATATTTCACAAGGTGTCAATTTTGTGGTTGTGCAAAAAAATTTTGTGGTTGTGCAAAAAAATTTTGTACACTGAGTAATTTAAGTTTTGTACTTTTTGAGTTAGACCTACAAAATTCCTAATACCAACCAGGTACAACTTTAATTACCCTGAAGAAGCTCACCTGCATCATATTTCACAATTTCAGGTTGTTGTGGTGGGTGCTGGTGCAAAATTGAGTGATATTGACAAGGAAACAGTACGTCATTCACTGGCAACACCCCTGGGTAGTTATTCTCAACTGGGTGTGGCAGGGTACACTTTGCTTGGGGGAACAGGTTTCCTGAGCAGATCCTTTGGCTGTACAGCAGATAATTGTTTAGAGTTTGGTAAGTCTCGATTTTGGAAACCTCAGAAATTTAATATGAGATGTTTGCTTTGTATGTTTGTGACTCAAATTTCTTTTTGGCTTGAAATTTTCTCATCATTCTGATGGTCAATTATCATCATTGATTGTAGTATCATATAATCTTTAACAAAGAAATAGACGAATTAGATGGGTTTGCAAAAATGTAAACCCTCGTTTTGAAGAGAAAAAAGATATTAAATTGTTCTTTATTCAAGCACGAATAAGCAGTTCCGCAACAATAAAGGAAATCAAAAAAGCAGGTTATGTTCCCATTCACCACATCATGGACCTTTCTGGAAAAAAATGTATTAATTTTCCGAGTCCAGAGCCACACGAAAGACCCAGGGCTAATTTGTCAAACGTCGCGTTTGAAACCCTGCTAGTGTCAAAGAGAGAATTTGGCTATCTGGTCTTGTAACACAAGTGCATTTCAAATAATTTTGTACTGTACCATGCAACAACTTGAAGAAAGTATTTACCTTATCCAAGTTGTTAAATAGCACTCCACAAAATTGGAAATGTTGTTTATGTTTTTGTTCAACAGAACTGGTCACGTCCTCTGGAGATGTTATAAGAGCAAGTGAGAATGAAGATCCAGAACTATTTTGGGGAATGAAAGGTTGTGGATTCAATTTTGGGTAATCTTCAAGATCACATTGTTAATTGTACCTTATATACAGGCTTAATTCTAAATTAAGAAGAATTTATTTCAATTTTTGCTAGTTGGAAAACCGTTCGATGGAAATATCAGTCTGTCATAGATTTAAAGCAAATGTCCGTCACTTACGTTTGCGAAAGCTCCAAAATATGACATAAAGTGCAATAACACTTCTATTATCCGCAAGGAAAATACGGGTTTACTGTAAGTCTTTTGAAGGAAATCTGAAAATATGGAAATGATGTGTTAGTGCAAATGTTTGATTACTCATTTTATGACAAAATCAACTCACGGGAAGCTGAGGTTTGAATGTAGTTTGTCATCCTCTAAAAGTTCGCTTAAGTTATAACAAGACAGCTTTTACCTTCTTTTACAACCCTCTGCTTTTCTCGTAGCGTAATGCTGTTCACTGTGTCTTTCCCATTGGCATTAAAAAATCTGTTGTTCGTCCTGTGTAGGGTCGTTACGTCCTTGAAATATCAACTTCATGACATTCCAGAGTTTGTCATCGGAGGAGATCTTTATTATCCCATGTCTAAAGCAGCAAGCGCTTTCAAGATTATCAGAGACTTTGTACGCGAGAAGGAAGATAATCGGCTGGCTGTGTATATGATGTTGCATTTCAAGCGAAGCGGGTGAGTGCTTCAAGAGTGAGCCAAAAATAAGATTCTCAATTTGAGTACGACTACTTTAATCTCACAAGGTAATTTGGTGTCAACTTTGTTGATAATGTAATTTGGCCATTGCAAAAATGTTGTAAAGGTGATGTCTCGACAAAGGGCTAACGCTCGAAACGTTAACTGTAGAAACTCTTTACTTTGGCCAATTTACATTATCAACTCAGTTGATGAAACAAACTTTTCTTGTGATGCAGTTTCGTGAAAAACCTACTTTTTTGACTTTTTCACTCTTCGTGTCTTCACAATAATACAAATTATTATAGAAGGAATTGACGACTAAACATACTAAGAAAACGCAGTAAAATGTTGGAAAAAAGGTAATAAAACCTAACAGTAAGGCACCATTTTGCAGAATACCTGTACTACTAAGTAAGAAAAAACATTGGCGCGGCTAAAAATCCTTTTGGTGTGTGAAGATAAAACCAGCTAATAAGTTCTTCATCAGACATCCAGCGGTGAAAACAAGAAGAAACTCACCCCGTAAACATACCTTACAGGATATTATTGAACATTCATTGCATTTATCGAATGTACTCCGCGCAAGCAGCACTTAATAAAATTTTATCGCGGGCCACACTGGATGCATTTAAGGTAATTTAGAAAAGAGTAAATTATCGAAGGGATAAAACAGTAAAGACACTGACAAAAGAAAGTACGATGTTCATCTTGAAAAATCAATTTGAATTCAATCATTCATTCTTTTCATTCTATTCGCTCTGACGATGGGGTAACGCCCGAAACGCCAGCTTAGAAACTCTACGTTGGCCAATTTACATTTTCAGCTCATCTGATAACACCAAATTATCTTACAATAGCCCCAGCCCCCACTGACGCGGCACCGCTGTTTCTTTACAAACTTACCCCAATTTTTCATTTGGATGTATTTAAATTGAGGCAAGGTCACGTGATCCTTTCCTTAGACCGCAAGCTCTCTGTCGCTTCTTGTTCATTGGTTCCCCTAAGGAGGGAGGGGCTCTACTGATGGAGCTGACAGACTTAACAAAACCGTTAGTGAACAAAGTGAAGCCTTTACCATTGGACGAATTCCAGAAGAGTGGGGACTGGATGGTGCAGAGAGGAATCACCTACTACGCACCTATGGGCAATTTTGTCGAAGGTTAGTAATACTCCTCATTAATCGCTTCATGTTATGGAAACTGGAATAAGCTACAGCTGGGTGAAGCACTCGGCTTGAGTAGACACTTAACCTTTATCGTGTCACAGAACTCACCGATGACGGCATTGATATCATCTTTGATGGGGTCAACCAAGCGCCTGATTCACGCATTATCACAGGCAGTAACATCTACATAACAAGCCTTGGAGGGAAAATCAAGGAAATACCGGCTGAAAGAAGCCCATACCCCTTCAGACAAGCAGAGTAAGTGATAATCACTGTAAAGCCGCTCTTGGTTTTGTATCATTGAACGCGCAAACTAATTCCTATAATCTACGTTAAAATTAGTACAATTACTTGTGCCACGCTTTAATCGTTTCTAGCTACTGCACATGCGTCATGAAAGTGCTTTAAACTAATGTTCAAATCAAATTTACAGCGTGAAAATTGTACGTTTTATTTGGTTTAGACGAAAGAACGAAAACCGCTTTTGATTTGCCATTCTGCGCCTTTCTCCCCGCCTGTGTCTTGCCTCTTATTTCCAGCTTTTTTGTGTGCCACTGTATTACTTCTCGTTACGCAGTGACGCTTGTTACATATAACGCCTTTTCCATCAGTCACAGTTCTTTCCGCTCTTGTAACTCGTCATATTTTTCCCATCTGTTAAATTTCTCTAGCGCCCGTCACATGTTTATCACTATTTCATCAGTTACATTTCTTGTCTCGCTGATAGACTGACAGACTCTTACTTCTTCTCACCTTTCTCTTCAGTTACTTTTCTTATTCACGTGTCGCGTGTTTTCTCCTTTTCAATCTGCTACATAGCTGGCGGGCATGTCTCATGTGTTCCCAGCTATTTCATCTGTTGCATTTCTTATTATGTCACCGGTGCTTTTCTTCCTGCGCATGTGAAGTATTGTTGCGTTTCCTCTACCTTAAGTATGTTTTGCTGTTGTCTCTGGTCTGCGGTGTTTAGTGTAAGCAATGTTTCGTAGTCTAATGGCTTATCCATTCCAGGCATTTCGGACTCAAGCACCGGCCAAGGTCTTTGTTTTGTGTTCTTAAGACATCCTAATTTTACCAAAGTACCGCTCCTATGAGATTGAGGTTTGGCGAAGTCTAAAATCCCACATGATACTTGATAGAAGATTCTGTTACCCTGACAGTTTTTCTTGCAATTTTTAATGCTTTGTTTGCACTGTTGCAAGACAGTGTGCGCGAGATATAATCTATGGTTACACCTTTGGTGTTTATTTGGCAACGCGTAGAGGTGTGTCGCCGCGTTGTTGCTATCGTTGCGAGAAGACGATCATGTCTGCTACTTGCCAAAAATAACAGTATACTTATCAGTACCCTTTTGCATCTTTCTATGTCTGAACCGATGAGTTATCTTGTTACTTAGTTGCTGAAAAGACTCTTAGGACGAAACAGATTCTCATAGCTGCCAACACGTTGGCTTACTCTGTCAAATTTTTTTGTGGCAAAAGATGCCAAAATCGCCACTACTTATGTCACCTCTGGACAGATTCCGTAGTTGCAACGAACTATTGAATCATTCAAGAATCTAACCCGTATTTTTTTAGCGGTGCGCCGTAGGCGCCTGGATTAAAAGCCATTACGTAATTTCTTTGATCGTGGTTTTCATTTTTTGCTTAGTTTCGTTTTCGCCTTCTGTTAGCTTTTGATAATTAGTCTTTTATTTTTTTTTTGTTTGTTTTGTATGTTAGGTCTTATTTGCATTTTGTCTATTTGGGTTTCTTTAATCATTTTTTGTTAGTTCACGTTTGAATCATCGTCAGGTCAGGTTTAGTTTGCGTCTGTTTGAGTTGAGGTCAGGTTTATTTCTGCGTGATTAAGTCACACTAGCTTTGTTTCGTTTTGCTTTGTTTCGCTTCGATCGCTTCGCTTCCTTCTTGCTTCGTTATACTATGTTTGATTCGATCGTTTTGCTTTCGATGGTAAAAAAAATAAATATAAGTGCGTAAAGACATCGGGTTGGTTATTTAACAAAGTTTAACCGTTGTTAACAAAACCGCGTTGTAAACTATCTTAAATTTAGCTTAATCTTTTATCCGAAAATTTGTTTTTGCGAACAGTGTCAAGAGGGCCGAAAGCTAACAGTTAAAGGATATATATTTCATGAAAACAACTCTCTTATAGAGAATCCCAGAGGCCCACTGCTTGCGGGAAACCGCGGTTTGGGTTAGACCTCGTGTAAATAACCGGCCCATTGTGACTACAAGGCTTTGAAGGGAACCTCGTTAAGACTTTTCAACTCTATCCTTGGATGTTGAATGCCACTATTTGTTTTTCTTACACGAAACAGATACTGGATTGGAATTGTAGCTGGGACACCTGACTCCAACTTCTATGAAGATGTGAAAACCTGGGTGGACAGTATGGACAATCGACTATCCAAATATGGTATCTTCCCATATGGCCCTGAGGCGGAAGAAGAACATGAAAGAATCAGGGCGTTGAAAGTCAAATACGATCCCGAAAACGTCTTCCATCACAACTTAAATATCGATCCAAAAAAAGGGATTCAAAAGGATTAACTGTAGCACAGCCCTTTTTTGTTTCCGCACATAT